CTGAGCCATCTCTCCAGCCCTATTTACTTTTAGAACCAGACCACTGCTTCTCCTCCTTCCTCACCTCCCAGTCCTCCCTGTCACCTCCCCTCTGCACCCCCATCCATTCCTCCTCCATTTCTGTTCAGAGATGTGCAGGCCTCCCATAGATATCAACCAAACACGGCATATCAAGTTGAAGGCTGGACAAGGCAATCCGGTATGAGGAAAAGGGTCCCAGGAGCCGGCACAAGTGTCAGAGACAGCCCCTGCTCCCACTGTTAGGCAGTCCCACAAGACCAAGCTCACAACTGTCACATATATGCAGATGGCCTAGGTTAGTCCCATGTAGGCTCTCTGGCTGTCGGTTCAGTCTCTGTGAGCTCCGATAAACCAGGTTAGTTGGTTCTGTGGGTTTTCTCATAGATTCCTGTAGGTCCCACAGTCCTTCCTCCCCTTCTTCCGCAGGATTCCCTGAACTCTGTCTAACATTTGGCTCTGGGTCTCTGCATCTGCTCCCATCAGTTGCTGGATGACGTCTCTCTTATGACAACTGGACTAGTCACCAATCTATGAGTATAGCAGAATATCATTAGGGATCATTTCATTGTCTTTTTTTTTTTTCTTGGCAGCCATCAACTGCCAAACATCAATAGCGCCTCAGCTTGGGATGGGGCTTGAGAGCCCTTCTCCCAGCCATGCTGCCGTGATGACTGGCTTGAGCTCATGTGGACACCTACAGCTTCCATGAGCTCAGGAGGACAGTGGTCTTCTTGTGTCCAGAAACACTGTTTTGCCCCAGTCTTCCCCAAGTCCTGGCTCTTAGAATGTTTCTACTCCCTCTCCTGCTATTTCCTAACCCTGGGGTGGGAAGGCCGCAATATAGATGTCCCATTTATGCCTGAGCACACCACAAATACCTGTTCTCCACACCTGGACCAGTCACTGACCAGCTGACTTTGTGAGTGGAACTCATGAGTTGCCAACTTCCAGCTGTTGATAATCTGAACAAATTCAGTCCAGCCACTTCATTACTTGGGCCTGCTTGACTTGGTGTACATTCACTGGAACATGACCTCTGCCGGTCTGTATTCTGGGGACTTCAGAAAGCCATTGGAAGAGCATAGAAAGAAAGTATCGATCCGTTATTTCTTGGCAGTGCTGAACATTTTAAGCATTTGATATTTTTCTAAGTATATAAATCTAATATCTATCTCATCTGTCTGTATCTCACCAAATACAATCTGACAAACCAATGTGGACTTCTCCCACACAGTGTAATCGCCCTGCTGAAAACACCAGTAGAGGCTTCTCTGAAGGGTGATCAATATCGGGATAAAAACTGAGGGCTACAGGACTAATCCAGAGGCGGGCGAGTTGACAGAGGACCCCAGCCAATGTTTATAGAAGTTATTTGCTCAGATGTTATCAGGTGATAATTGGGCATCACTATTTATTATGAATCTTCCAGATGAAGGTTCCACCCCAGGAGGCTGGGACAGGGCTGTAAGGACCTGAAGTGGTCATGAGTGGCCAGAATCACTGTTTCCCACATCTCAGACGAAGCTGTAGGGAGTGTAATAGCGCGGCCCTCCACAGGGTCTCTGGAGAGGACTAAACACTGCCCTGCACGGAGCCCCCTCCCCTTGCAAAAGGAGCTGTTCTCTGGGAGGGAGAGAGGAAGCCTGGCCTCGGGACCATCCTCTCTTTATCCAGGTGTCCTCTTATTTCCTTTTAAGATGACAATCATCCTGCCTGATGATTCCTGGAGTAATCCAATGAGCGGAGACTGGCACTGTGCTCTCTCCTTATTTGGCTTAGGAATACAGGCCCTGAAAAGTTAAGCACTCTGAGGTCCCAAGTCTTAGAAGTGGGAGTCGAGACTTGAATACAGGTACCTCTAGCCACATAGCTTCCATGCAGCAGGCGCTCCGGAAAATTTTAGAAAGCAAGTAATTCAGACTGAGGCATGTGGACCACTGGGGACAGCATCACCTAGGAGCTAATGAAGAATGCGGAATCTCAACCCACCCCCAACCCTGGCTGCGTCCACATCTGTTTGTAAAGTGCTCTTCAGACGCCTCCTGCACGCCGTAACGTTCAGGATCACTTTGATAGATGCCCCGAAATATGACACGAGAGTCTAATGTGCGCTTATGACAGCCAGACAGGAACCCACAGAATCCAACAAGCCGTGAGAACATGGTGGGGTGGGGTGGGCAGGGGTGGGACTGAGCAAGGGAGTGTGCATGGGGAAGCCATCCAAGGGTGGCATGGAGGGCAGTCTCAGTAGCTGCTGCCTGAAACCACATTGCCAGGGAGCCTCCCTTCGTGAGAAAAACCCTAAAGCCTCCAAGAAAAATGTACTTGTGTGGATATATTTATTTTTGAAAGATAATATGGTTCATTTTCTTTGTTTCTTCTTCATTTCTTCCTTTCTTCCTTCCTTCTCTCTCTCTCTCTCTCTCTCTCTCTCTCTCTCTCTCTCTCTCTCTCCTCTTCCTCCTATTTTTTTCTTCTTAATGAAAGAAGGACAAACCAGGAAGAAATTATTTACCCAAACTCACAGGCCCCAACAGTTTTCCCATCAGAGGTCCCTCTGCTCCTGCAGCCCTTAGAAGGTACGCATCTTGTTTACTTCAGGTGTGAGTCCTCTTTGTTTCTGTATGGTACCTAGATAGCATCCGTGAGCTTGGTAAGAGAAGCTTCCATTTCCAGAGTATTTTCCCCATGAGTATTGTCCTTGGGTTAAATCCTCTTCTAGTCCATTCCAGCTGCTATAGTAAAATATCATGAGCTGTATTATAACAACTGGGGTTCATTTTCTCAGGAGACTGGAAAGGAAAAAGAAATCAAGGGACTGCTATCTGGTTCACAGATGATGGTATTGCCGGGCACGCTCACACGTTTGGAAGGCATCCACTAGCATTTTTATAAGACTACTAGTCACAAAGCCTCTGGCCTCATGAACTAGCTATCTTCCCCAAGCCCCACCCTCCTAATGTTGCCCTTGACTAGGATCTCAGCATATGAATTTAGTAAGGGTATATAAGCATCTACATAACAGCAGATCCCAAACTCTTCGAGAATGTTCCGCAAACAGGAATGCCTGGACTAAGGTCTAGGCACATTTGCCCATCCGTACCTTGAGATGTACAGAAAGGTATCTGCTCACCACTGAGCAGCTGTGATTCCCATCCTGGGAGTCAGGTACCCAGTGGAATTTCACTGTAGAGGAGGCTGCCCAACCTTGTCTTTCCTACCCTTCCCCATGTAACACTGTTGAGGCTATGCAACAACCCCAGGAAGCTTGAGACTCTTTCAAGTCAGGTTAACCTGTGTTTTCGTGTCTCAACATGGTGGCTTGAATGAATTGCATTATTTAGGCCTTATAATCACTTTTCTGAAGGCGGTGTGTTTTTATATCAACTTGCTACGAGCTGGAATTATCTGAAAGGAAGGAACCTCAGTTGAGAAAATGCCTCCGTAAGAGTCCTCTGTACAGCATGTTTTTTTTATTACTAATTAATGGGGGAGAGCTCAGTCCATTGTAGATGGTACCATCTCTAGGTTGGGGTTCTGGGTGCTATAAGACAAGGGTGAGCAAGCCATGAGGGGTAAGCCAGTAAGCAGTACCCCTCCATGGCCTCTGCACCATCTCCCGTTTCCAGGTTCCCACCTGCTTGACTTCCTGTCCTCATGGCTTTTGATGATGAACTGTCATATGGAACTCTTAGTGGAATAAAGCCCTCTCCTTCCCAAGATGCTTTTGGTCATGGCATTTCATCACAGCAGCAGAACACTGCCTAGGACAGATCGGCATCAGGAGTGGGGTGTCGCTGTAACAGACCTTACCATGTTGACTTGGGGAGATGCCCTCATGGGAGGACTTGGAACTTCAGGCTAGAAAAGTCATTGAGTGCTGAGAGCTTAGTGAGATGCTCTTCAGGAACTTGGATGATCATAATGTTGAGAACAGTGCAGGCAATGGAGGCCTGGTTCTGGAAGTTTCAGAGGGAAGAACTTAATTCCCTGAGTCAAGATGCCATTTTTCACCACTGTGCCAAGTAGAACCTATATGCCTGCTCCAAAGAGTCAGTTAGGAATATCAGACACCATTGGTCCTGGCCTGCTAAGAAGTTGCAGACTAAGGGAGAGGCCCTGATGGCTAAAATAATGTCCTGGTCACATCCATCATTCACTTGTAGCTTCTCATGTCTACTGCATCAAAGCATATGGCAATAGACATATTTAGGACCCTAAAGGCTGTCGTTGCATCTTTGGCTTATTTCCTACCCCTCCACTCAAACAAACACACACATGTTTTTCTGTTCTGGCTGCACTTTAAAGTGGCCAAAATAGAGCTGACTTTCCCGTGATTTTTGTTCATTTGGTTTTGCTATTTAAATGTCTGGATGAACAAAATTTGGGTCAGGATGCTTTCGTCTGTCACCTTGTGTTTCATCCTGTTCACAATTTTTGGAGTTGTGTGAATTGAAGCCTTGCTTGTGTGGGTTTTTTTTTTTAGGGGGGGGGACGTTAACTTCAGAAGTGATTTCGGCTTTACTGAGAACAGCTATAGAGGGTGAATGTGCAAAGGGCACCCCCTAGCTAACTGACTTTCCCCCTGATGCAGGGCTTCCCCACCTTCTTCACCACATCTGGTTCTGGGGGCGGGGTGGGGAGAAAGAAGGGGGAGAGGGAAAGGGAGAGGGAGAGAGGCAGGGAAGGGAGAGGGGGGGAGGGAAGGAAGGAGAGAGAGAGAGAATGTTAAACCTGTACAGAGGGATGGGAATAAAAGAAAATTGAGTCAGATCCAAACCAGACTATGAGGCAACCTCAGCTCTCTTTTCTCCCACTCCCCAAGATGAACTGGGTAGGTTTGCTATTGACAGCTGAGCAATCCACACAGTAAAACTTAACCGTTTCCATTCCCTATACGATGTTGTCAATGCATCACCTCCCCCTTGGGTTCTCACACTACCACTGACCCCGTTCCCTTTTCTTTTCTCTCCCTCAAGCGTGCAAACGCAAGGAGCAAGAACCTAACAAAGACAGGAACAACTCCCAGAAGAAATCCCGCCTGGTGTTCACGGACCTCCAGCGCCGAACGCTCTTCGCCATCTTTAAGGAGAACAAGCGTCCTTCGAAGGAGATGCAGATCACCATCTCCCAGCAACTGGGGCTGGAGCTGACCACGGTCAGTAACTTCTTCATGAACGCCCGGCGTCGCAGCCTGGAGAAATGGCAAGATGACCTAAGCACGGGGGGCTCTTCCTCCACCTCCAGCACTTGTACCAAAGCATGATCCAAGGACTCTCACCTGGGCACAAGTCACCTCCAAATGAGGACAACAGATACCAAAAAAAAAAAAAAAACCAAAATACCAAAAAAAAAAAAATCACAGACATCAGATTCTTAGCTGGGGCCCTTCACTGGTGACTTGAAAGCACAATTCTCTTGAAACTTCTCTTCTAGCTGTAATCATAGGCCAGGTGTTCATTGTGTTCGGTTTTGTTTTAAATGGCCACAGAGTCCAAGTGCGCGCTGAAAACGAATCTCTCTGAACCAGACAGTGTCCTCTGAGCATGCTAGGCATCCCAGAGATCCAAATGGGGCCTTCTTGGAGCGAGTTCACTACAGCAGGGTGTCAGCCGAGCTCCGCGTGGCTGTAAGCGTCAACAGTCCCATTCGGGCCCCCATCAATCTCTTGTGTCCGTGGCCCACGAGTAATAGTGGGAGTTTGACCTGAGAACAGACACAGCGTAGGATTCCAAGACACTACGTGATGAAAAGAATTTAACAACAAGAAAGACCTCATTTGCTTCCCAAGTGCTTAGCGTCTTTATATCACAATATACTAAAAATTCTCAGCCATAACATTACGAAAAAAAATCAGAATGGTAATTACTGAGCACAAGTTTTAAATATGAAAATCAATAAAAATTCAAGGACCTGTTTTTTTCCAACTCAGGCATCTTTTCACTGGATAGTTTAGAAAGCTTTAGGTTGATTTCAGTTTACAATGTTCCTTTTCCTTACCTCCTGGAAATCTCATGTGGTCTTTTGGATCCGTCGGGGGAAAAAAAATAAAAGTCAGTTCACCTGAGCTCAAAGTATCAAGCACAACGAAGATAAAACAGAAATAAGGAAGGTTCTGGTTTCAATGCATCCGGTTTGACAAGGCAGTTTAGATCTGCCTTGCTGTTGTGAAGTCATTAGGGAATCCTTGGAAATATGGCTTCAAGCACACTTTCCAGTTTGTTACAAATTCTATTTCTCCGTAAGGCAGATGCACACTCAGGAGGCCAAGTTAACTGTTACAGTACAGGAGCAAATGCATCATTTAAAAAGATCTAGATTTTTTTAGATCATTACCATGCCCTTGATTTACTAGTCACCGGGTTCCTCCTCTGTGCATTAAGACTATCATGCGGTTGGTTCTCATTCTTGCTGGTTTACGTTGTTCGCTATCCCATCCCGTGAGTTGGGATGCTTCTATTGTTTTCTAGAAAGAAACAGTTTCATAAGCCACATCCTGTTGTCTCTTCCTAACTCTCTCCCATTGTTGGCTCATCCTTGTAAAACAGCTGACTGAATCTGGAAAGAACACAGCACACCAAAGAAGCAGAATACTGCAAACCAAAGACATTTATTACCTGCCATTTTCTAGCCTACAAATACTGTGATTACTTTTAGAGATCAGAACACCTCTGTAACTCCGAGTGGCATTCGGCTCTTGTCTTGGGCTCACCCTCTGGCTGAGCAAACCAGCTATGTCAATGACATTCGCCCTGCATCCAGGCGTTGGCTTCACCATGCCAGCTCTGGTTGTCACTATCTCATAGCGAGTGGAAGAGGGCCCACAGAACTCTGGGAGATTACAAAGGTCACTATGTGCATATTTACCAGTGAATGGCCCCAGGTGGGCACCGTGAGGTGTTCCAAACAAGCCAAACGCTGCAATGATTCTTTACAGACACTTAAGACTGACTTTTGTATGAATTACTTAATTGAAACCAAAGAATCTTTTTTCTGCACCTACTTCTGCAACAAACCGAACTGTCCCATTAACTGAGTAAATGATCCCATCAATCACCGGAAATCACCACCAACAAGAAAAGCACGCTAAAATAAAAACAAAAAATGGAAAAAACACCGAAGACACACTGTGTTCAAACAGACCTCTTGGGACATTTTTTCCTTTTAATTTTTTCTGTTTTTGGAAGCAGATTTGAAAGAAAGGGTTGAGACAAGAATCAAAACACAGAAGAGCCTTGGTGGCCGCTGCTTCATTTGACAACTCACTCGGTAATCTTAAAGCTGAAGATTGTCTTTAATTTGTGCCTATGCAGTTTTTTCAAAAGAACATGGAACAGAACAACAGAAACCTCAACAGCTACAATACCAAAGACGAGGATTCTCACACCTTTTGTCTCAGTTCGTTACCTTCTTTTGCCTGGCTAAAATACTAATAGCGTCATTGATCTGTACAAAGGTAATTGATTTTGTTTCTTTAAGCAACGAAAGGAAAGGGTCATTTGTTTGATTTCATTGCTTCCCTTTAGTTTTGTCTTATGGCTTTTTACTCAGCATGGAATCCCCCCCCGAAAGGTTCCATGGACCCCAAATTTGAGATGTTGGGATACTGAACACTGTTCCCCTTTCTCTTCAACAGAGTCTGGGGTACACTATTACCACTTGAATGTTTGTTGCTTAACTCTTAGACTTGGTTGCTTCTATGTTCAGCGTCTCATCATTAGGGGAGGGGAGGGGGAGCAAGGGTCAGGGGTAGGAGTCTTAGTGATACGTCCTCTCCAGAGCCACAGAACCAAAGAATTTATAGAGAAATTTACAACCTCATCTTCATGTGATTGCCACATATTAACAGGGCTTCATTTGGGGGTGGGGAAACATGTAAAAAGAATCGCCAGTTTCTACTTTTCTATTAGCTTTTTAAAAAAAAAAGTCAGCTGTAAAGTTGCATTTCTAAAGAAAGATATAAATATATATATATTAAATGTATGAGTACATATATAGACCACCTGCAGTGGTGACAACCCGCAGTTTTGCTGTCATCATGCCATCTTTTTGTCATGTGTTCCATTTTCTGAGTACTCGGCTCACAACTGTTCTCATTTCTCATACCATTCCAGAGTTAATTTTGCCACTGTGGTTGTCTGGCAGTATCCGCATTTCTATGCCAATTTATGGGGAAAGTTGAAAGTCACATCTAAGTATTACTTCATGTAACCCGTTGATGAATGGATTCATGATATAAATGAGTTTTATTTGCATCTACTCATCTCGATTCTATGCCTCAACCATGCTCAGCAAGGTTTCTCCACCAGGTTAGCTCAGAGCTACTGTGGCTGGCAGTTCGGGGAATGCTTAGTGGTCCATTCCCACCCACTGTGGGGTAGAACACCCAGAAATCCACCTTCCAGTAGATGCCCCATCCATCAGGGTAGTCTAGATTCTTCAAAGTGAGCAGAGCCACCAGGGACTTCTCATGGGGAAGTCCAGCGCCTATTGCAATAGGTTGATCAGGTGTCCTCAGGGTAGTAATTACCAATTTGTATTGACAAGCTTGAGTGTAACCATAGCTCCCACTGGGGTGGAACAGGGTTGTTGGCGGGAGGTGGGGGGGGCATAGCTCAACCCTGGAGAAAAGACATATGGCAGATTGTGAAGAGAGCCCCAGATTCATATCCCTGGAGAGCCACACTATCTGCTATGCCACCTCTTTACGTGCCCAGTGTGGCCTATCCTGTGTATGGGCATCATTTCTAGAACTCCGTGTGATTTTTATAGTCTGTCCTGCCTGGGGAATGTTTCTTTCACTCTTCCCTTGTTTCCCTTTATCTCTTGCTTATATTCCATGGACCCTTGGTCAAATGACCAAGAGAAATGCATATTTCTTCCAGAGGTTGCTCCCATTTCAGCTTGTTCAGGTGAATTTTAGCTTGGGCAAACACTCAATGGGCCCCTGTGATGTGTGGCCACTGGGAACGGTAGTTCTGATGGGATGTAGGCTCAGGAACCAAGCACCTTGTTTTGGTTGGTGATTGACACACTAAGTAACAGCTTTTGGGTCTCTACATCCTTGGAAGATGGTGGCATGAAGAAAAAAAGCAAGAAAAATGTCTCACGTATCTCAGATAATATCAAAGAGAATGCTTGCTTTAAGAAGTTACTTATACACACACACAAACATATATGTATATGTATCTGTATACATATGTGTCAAAATTTTAAGCCCTACAAAGTATAATTTTGCTAGCTGGCTAGCTGGAAGAAAAAAAGTGCTATACTGAAAGGTTATAGAATTTAATCCAGTGTTTTTTCCCAAAGCTTTTACATTTGTATTTTAAATTAATAGTTTCAGATAAAATAACCATTGGATAAAGTCTAGAGTCAAAATCTTCAATCCAAGGAAAGTTCCAGGCTGCCTCAGCCATCAGCAACAGCTGGACACTATGCAATAATAGTTCACAACCCAATTTCACATTCTTGGGGTGACAGAAACCCAAAAACTCGATGCTTCTGGGTGAAACAAGTCTTTCTTTAAGCCTTTGTGTAACTAAACTTGTATTTTCTATTGTTTTCAGTGTGATTTTAGTGATGGAGATTCAATTCCTTCATTACCAGAATTCTTTTAAAGGATAGTCAATCTATTTCTTTTTTAAAGGACAATAACAACAATGATAAAAATTCAATTTCATTATTTTAAAAATTTCCCCACAATGTTATAGAGCATTTAGTTTGTGCCACAGACTAGCCTGAGCCCAGCAGGAAGACTGTGTGCACAGCTCTGAGCCCAGCAGGAAGACTGTGTGCACAGCTCTGAGCCCAGCAGGAAGACTGTGTGCACAGCTCTGAGCCCTGCAGGAAGACTGTGTGCACAGCTCTGGTTTCTCTGAAGGCTCTTGGCAGCTTCAGCTTTGGAAATCCAATCTCATTGTCACTTCGAGCTAAAGCAAACCAAAAACTAGGAAGTTAAGCCTACTAGACGCGCGCGCACGCACACACACACACACACACACACACACACACACTTTCCTAAGGCAAGCAGTTAGTTTCAAAGCCAAATATTAATAATTCAATTTTAAATAATCAAACACTGTCTATGTTGGGCATCCGTGACTTAGTGCCAGTAAATTAAAATTAAATAGATTTTTAAGCAAGTCGTCACCATTTGGTAGGTACAGAGGGGAAGTATCCCCATTATGGAAAAAAAATGTCTAGGGATGTGTCTGTTAGCTAGATACTATCATGGAAATACACTTTTTGAGGAAATGGGTCCTCAGGAGCTTGTCTAATTGGAATTTTTCAAAACCTACAAGCAGACTAAATTCCAAGATTGTTAAAGAATAACCGTCTATTGGAAAATGGAGAAAGTAGATAAAAGTGTGGTTAATGTTGACCACATGGCCCAGACACTGCTTTGTCAATACCTCTTCTAGCTTCCTGCCCAGTCGCAGCTGATTTTTACTGTCCTGTCGATGCTGATTCAAACCTGCTGGTCTAACCAAGCGAGTGGGAAGCAGAAGAAGAGCTCAAGCCTTTCTGATGATTACCTGCAAGGTTTCATAGCTTAACAGTGCTGTGCAGTCAGCTAACCAGAGGGGCCAGCTGTAAAATAAGTCAAAAGGAATCCCCACTTAAGAAGAGCAGTATTTCTGGTGGTTGCTTGAACTATAGATGCCCTAATTCCTATTTTCTATCTACACATGTTCCTTTGCAAGGCAGGGGATAAGGGTGGGAGGTTGACTGGTTCGTTTTAGAAAGTCCCAAGTACTTGTGAAACAAAATATAATAATAATTCTTAAAATAACTTAGGATCTCATATACGTAGATGCAGAACTCTTCATCAAGGCCCATGTGTTATGCTGTGAGTCCACCTTAAGGGCCCATCAACCTCAGTTACCCAAGTGGCTACCAGTTGCAGGGAAGTGAAAGGTCGAGCCTAGACTTCACCTCTGTGCGCTTTGAGTTAGGTTGATTGACATTAACCAGTTCATGCTTTTGAGTAGAGAAAATTGTATGTAAGGAAAAAAAATCACCATAGGTTTGGTCATTCCATGGGAATCCTCCATTTAGCTCAGTTTTTGGCAACAGGCATTTTATATGGCACAGACCTTGGTAGATAAGTTTGCTTGGCGCGTATACAGTCTGTGGGCTTGGATGTATACAGATCTAGATACATATTTCAACATAGATCCTCATAGTTGACTTTATATCCACATACATTGCTAGAGGTGTCTAGACTGTGTACATGCAAGTGTGTACAGACATGCTTAATACATATATATATATATTGTAATCTGTTACAATAAATAAATTACAAATCATCATGCAACATGTATGTGATACTTTGACAATGTACCTTGTCTTTGTTATTTCTTGTAAAGCTGAAAACCAAAGTACAGAAACATAAGCAAAAGTATCCCACATCGTCATCATCTTTATACTTGAAATTACTTTCATCTGGGTCCAGCCAAGACCAACAACTTATTGATGGAACATTGGATATTATTTAATTGTCTGTGTTAGATGTTTGATGACTTTGGTTGAAAGAATAGCTTTATTCTGAATCTCTCATAACTAAAGCTAAATCCAAAGACCTGAAAAAGAACAGAAAAGGGGGCGGGTGGGCCTGGGGGATGCAGAGGAAAGTGCACATCAGTGGGAAAAAGTGGGCTCTAGTTTCCAGGGGGGAAACAAGGGTGGGGTGGTCTTGTGGAGGTTGCATTAGCTAGTGGGGGAAAGGTGTTTTTTTGCCCTCATGTCTGTCACATCAAAGTGGTCTTTAATGTGATAAAGCTTTAAATGTTATACGTTGCTGCTTTGTGTTAACTTAGAATATAGGAAGAAATCACCCGTTTTGTCCATCAAAAGAAAAAAAAAACCATGAAGACAACCCATCCCCACCCCTCAGATATATTTTAATGTGTCTCTTTCAATTGTGACCCGAGAAGCTGTTAGTTAATATAATTAAGTTATTTAAGTTAGTGTCTTGTATGCTAGCACGTAGCATTTTGGGGTAATTATTTAATTCTCTTTCCTTAGTTTGATTTGACTCCTTGTTCTTATTTATGAAAATGCAGAGCAAGCAATGCTGCATCTGAGATGCAGAACCCTAGCCGCCGTTCTCCTCCACTGGACCCTGCTTCTTATAACAGTGAACTTCTGTTACAGACAGGGGAGAAGCCTAGGTTACAGTGAAACTGAAAAAAAAAAATCGGGGCGGGGGAGTGTTTCCCCCCCTCGGATTAACTTCTAGAATGGTTTAATGGTTTTTAAATTATTTAATTTAAGTTCACAGTGCCACCAGGTACCAGGCGAACTTCACCTCTTAATTACTGGGGCCCTCAGAGCCTTTCTATTGTAACTTATTTATTTAACTTATTCGGCATCTGCGACAGGTGCGCTGTACAGTTTGTGTTTGTTATTTAAAACAACAAAGAGCACTGCAGTTTGCTGTCAGAACAACAGAGCAGATTTGTGGACACGCAGTGACTGCTCAGCCTGAACCTTCTTCAGAACCCTCGAGCTGAGATCCAACATCACCGGCCCGGATTTTGGGGCTTCTATATGGAAACTGGAAAAATAAATTAAAAAAAAAAACAACAATAAACCAAAACGAGAGAACCCTTACACTAGCTGCTTCCAAGAAAGAACCCAGTGTGCGTGTAAAGCAACAAAACGAAAAAGGGAAAAAAAGCAGAAAAAAAGGAAAAAAAAAAAACCGGAAAAACTTTCTATTTGTAGTGAGAACCAAAGAAGGCTACCTCACTGACTTTCTCCATTTGTAATTTTAATCGTGTTGATGACACCAAAGATACCAAAGATTCCTTTCTCTGTGCGGTCTGCATTCCGTTTGTGCTCTTCTATGATTTGAACTCCTCTTGCTGATATGGTACGGACAGCCACAGCTCAGACACCCCAAAGAAACACTGATGTTTGTGAAGGTGGCTGCTAACCCGAGAAGGGATCTTTTCTGTGTCTCTTACGGTTGCCTGCTGCCCCTCCCGCGTGTTCAGGATGCAAGCTGGGATGCTGCTGTCCCTGGGTTCTCTAGAGTCCCAGTTCCAATTTGGTGACAAAGACTGCTTGGAGGTGGCCTGCCGGCCTCTGTTTTCTGGAGCTATCACTGGAAAACGTGCCAGGCTATTGCCAGCTACAAAAATAAGCATTGGATAGGAGAGCTGGAAGGGACCTTAGGACACAGTCAGTCACCCCCACCCCATATGCCCTATGGCCAGGTTGAATTAGTTAATCTGTGTCCAGTGACCCCAGAGCAAAACCCAACCCATGCTTCCTAGCTCCAGGTCCTGTGTCCTGCCTATGCTGTGGTGCTCTGTGGGTTCTGCCTGACATTGGTCACACGTTGTCAAGTAGGGAAGTAGTTATTCTTTATCAATGAGCAGAAACTGTAGCTTAGGGATCAATACTTTCATCTTTTAAGAATACTCTTCAGGTACCTACATCAGAGTCATGTATGATTTGTTCCTTAGTAGCGTGGCCAGCCTTGAACTTGTAGGGCCCACTGAGGGGTTCTGCCTGGGAAGCATATTGACCCAAACAGTAAGAAGACTTTTGAACACACCGATTACAAAGTTTTGAATAAATAAGCTTAAATCAGTGGAAGGAGAAGGCTCAATCTTGAACCATTGAGTTTATTTACTATGGCTATTCTAAAGTCAATATTTATCAAGCGAGGAACCTTGGCTACCAGTTTTGGTAGGATATTTTACCTGTCAGCTTTTTTATTTGTTTGTTTTCTTTTTACCTAAGAGTGTTCCCTTTTAACTTCTAAATTAATTCAATTTACACGATAAATGTAAGCCCTCCATTGCTTGATGCTTAGATGTATTCCTTGCAAATGAAAAATATCCCAATAGCAGAAGAATGAGTATACCAGTTTAATTATGGTGACATAGTTACTTCTCTCCTGTTTTCCCTGGTCAAAACTTCATTCTTTAAGTTTCCAATTCTATAAAATTACTAAGTCATTATTAAGACCATTCACCAAAGTGATTGGAACATTAGCCAATGAATCTTTTTTAGCTTTTGGCCACATGGGATTTAGGTACACACAAGCTCCTATCTCTAGTCTACAGAGCTCTTTATTGAATACTGTGATTTTACATCTCACACAATAGTGATCACTGAGCTTTTAAAGAGACTATTTAGATAAAGCTAAGAAGGGCAGATCAATTAACTCATCAGCTCCATACACCAACAGGGTACAGCTGATAGAAGACTTTACAAGACTTATAAACAAGGAAACATAGCCTTTCTCTCTCTCCTTTTCCTCTCTTTCTTCTTTAAAGACAGGGTCTCATGTGGTTCAAGCTAGCCTTAAACTGATGGATAGATGCAGACGGCTTTGAACTCCCTCTTAATCTTCCCGCCTCTGTGTCCCTAGCAATGGGACTCCAGTTGCGAACCACCATGTCCAAACAGTTATCTTCTTTCTGAAGTTTGCAAGTTCCATCCTGGCGTATGTAAAAATCCTTTCCTCCCTAGATGGGACTAAAACTTCACAGCTTCCATGTTCAAGGCAAACCTGCAAGGCCTCCTTTCCAAGCCGCGGATCACCAAATTTCTATTCAAATTCAGCAAACATTCTCAGACACCCTAAGCGGTAGAGTGGTTCCCCGTGAGCAGTAGCAGCTTCCCCAGTCTTCCTACCACTGAGCCCTAGGAGAGAGAACCCACAAAGAGCAATGGCAGCCTGAACACAGAAAAGATCTCAATTGGCAGACCCCTCTTCAGCACCCCCTCTCCCCCCCAGCCTCATGCTTCACTTTCAAAGTGTGACATAACCATGGGACGAGTGCCTTGCTTGAACCAAAGCAACGATTTAGCCAGTCTGGACCTCTCTGTGCTTTTTTTGTTTTTGTTTTTTTTTAATCCTTCCTGTGAATACCTCAGCTTCAACTGGGCCTCCATACAGTAAATTGGTGGGCTTATCGTACTGCGGTGCTTTGCAATGCAACCCTGCAAAGAACAAGATTTGTACTGATACCAAAGGTTCTTTCTCTACGTCTCTTCCTTCCGCCTCCCCATCGCCCCCCCTTTTCTAGTCCCTCACGGTTCCAAAGCTTTAATATGAACCTGGGCATGTTGGCAATGCAGACCGCGCAATTCCTTACTGAATTTTCTCAGATATACCTCATAGATAATAGTGTTTAGAGTAATGTTATTATAGCGTATGTAATAAATTATTCACTGTTTCTTTTGGTAACTGTGATTTAAAAAAAGAAAAAAGAAAAAAAAAGCTTTATACAGTTTAGGTTGTGATTTTGTAATAGATGAAAATGTGCGCTTAAAAAGGAAATGTATGTTCTTTTTATTTTTCTTCTCCCCCTTTGGATTTTATTTATTCTGGATTGGGGAAAGTTGCAGAATGAGCCCAAAGTTTACAGTTTCATATTTTGCTGAAGAAACAATCTGTGTTCATTTGCTCTGTTGAAAAAAAAAAGTTATTTTCTACATTCGTGCTAATTGTTCTGTGTTAACAGTGTAGTATTATAATTAGCAACTGCCAATCAGTGCTATAATTTTATGCATGAGGCTAAAAATTTAGCAGTGTGATGCATTGTGGTCTTAATAGCAACCTTTTTCATTTTGTACTAGATCCTCCCCTTTGGTTCAATGGACATTGTTTATGCATGGGCGCCCATCATTTGTTGGCAGTCGTGAACAGTTGTGTATACATTAAACTGTGAAAAATGCACACAGTTTGGCCTCAGACAGTGATAATACTGGTTTTCTTGGGAGATGTATGACCTTGGAAATACCTTCACATCTGTTGGGATTTCGAAATGAGTCAGATGGAATCAGGTTTGAATTTTATAACGAGAAAGGTCATCCAAGCTGCAGTTAGCTTACTCGAACCCCGCAAATTGGGACCCTCATAACCCAGATATATCGCGACATCTGAGAGAGCTGAGAATTAGCAGTAAAGAGCAACTCACCTCTGCGTTTTTAATTTCCACTAAAAGGAGTTTTGGCTTTATGTTCATGACCTCAGACCTATTGGGCCATGAATGCTAATTCATCTAGGTCTCTCTTTCCTGGATTTTCCCATGGGGACCAGCTTAATCTGTTGTCAGCTGCCAGTTGAAATGCATGTAGCATCGATATCGCTGGATTTTTGGCACACTCTCACAGATAACCCCAGCAGTTATTTGGACATATGATTATCCCCTAAACGTTCACTCATGTGGCCCTGTCATACTTTTCCTCCTTAGGGTCAGAAATGACTCTAGATTCCTTTTTACAAAGTTATGCCTATATTCTAGAGGGGAGTATTAAGAATTTTGGGAATCAATTTAGGAAAACCATCTTGGTTTGAATTCCCCAGCCTTTGAGGTCTCTCTAGCTCAAAAAATATTTATTTTTTCCCGTCTCAGTGGATTGGGCAAACATATCCTTATATTTGGGTTCTGAGATCCACTCTTGAGTTTCCTACCTATTTCCTACACCACAAAGCCAAATCAGCTGCCAAGTTCTGCAGTTGTCCTGCAGAAGAGAACGAAGCTGAGGAAACGACGGTGGGGGCACAGCAGCCTGCTGTGCAGAGTCCTGGAAATCGCCAAGAGACAGCAGAGCGTTGCATGTGTGTCTGTCAGTGAGTATGTTGGAGATGGTCATTCGTCGAGGATGCAAAGGAACGGCCTTATAAGTAGGTTGTGATGACGAAAGCTTTGTAATGTAATCTTTTGGTTTGCTTGTTTGTGTTTCTTTCTTATTAATCTGCCAAAGATGGGGACGGATACAAGAACTTTAAAATCAACTTTTGTAAGCCAGTTGTTGATTGTAATAGTGTTTAATCTCCCAGAAAGCTTTGCATATTCTTCTGCAATAAGTCAAGTCCCTATTGGTTTCCGTAAGTTCTCTACACACTCGCAGGCCTGCCAGCTGTTCCTCATGATACAGATGCTAGCAGATGCTGTAACATCTACAAGGTTCTAATGCATTTCTGATCCAAAGCCAACAAAGGGGTGTGAGAGGCACAAGCATGCCTGGCCTTCTTTACAAGCAACGCAGGGGTCTGGCTCATTAGAATTTGCCAAGAAGACTTGTCTTATGAAATTTGAGGTATATTTTGTTATGCCGTTTTATTTCCTTTTTTTTCTTCAACTGTGGAAAGTGATACATTGAATCAAGTGTAAGCTGAGTTTTCCAGACAACTGAAGTAGCTACATTGTGAATGTTATTTTGTTATTAAAGGGTTTTTACTCAATCTTTGTGCCAATGAATGTCCTTTTCCTTGGAAACCCAAGAAATATGGAATTATCTCTGCTTGGCCTGGATTTTCCTCCTGTGGAGGTGTGTGGTCCTGGCCTGGGAAATAAATGGTTATGCCTCCGCTTCGAAGGTAGATTTGGGACACTAGCAAGAGGTCTTCATGTCTATCAGCTTTGAAAAGACCTGGGTCCAAATTTTCCAACCTCAGTCGCTCAGGACCCCATCATATCTCTAAGAGTCCATGAACAAAACAAACAAAACACCAACCCCAGTTCATGCAGGAAAGGGGACCTGGTGAACTCGCATCTTCTGTGAGCCACTAAGAATTCACTCACCCCCAGCTCCACCCAGAGAAAGCCTGGGCCTTCACGGAAGGACTTTCTCCCTTCTTGACTCCAGTAAGGGAGTCAGTTACTCACTCGAGCCGGGGGGAGGCTCTTGCTATCAGCTGGCTTCCCAGTCACGCTCTACATCCCATTTAACTATCACATTGGTCATTTTTGAGGCGATTCCTTAAGAATCAAAGGTATGGCTTTCTAGTGTTTCATTTCTAAGTGAATTTCATTTCTAGTGTTTCATTTCTAAGTGATTGTGTCTTCATGGTTCTTAGATCAGAAAGTCTGTAGGTGAGGAAAAAAAAAAAAAGATCCTTTGGCTTCCTGTATCTCAGAGGAGCCAGGCAGGTTACCCATGCTATTGACCATGTTTGGAGGCCGTTTGAATCACAACTACTGAGCCTACCCAAAATACGGCTCACCAATGCCTAGTTTATTTCCGCTTGGAAGTCCTTTTCAAAAAAGTTGTAGAACATGGGTTACTCTCCCATTTCCCTTACTTTGGCTACATTTGGCATTTCGCCTGACTCAATTTACTATCTAGGGCAGGTTCTTTTTCAGCTAAAGTCAGGGAGTCTGGTATTTGAGGAGAACACTTAAGCATACACAGAATACCTAGCTAGCAGATAGTCTCATAATTAGAAAACATTTCCTGAAATAGAAAATACAGCCCCACCCCACCCCCACCTTTTTTTGCCCTGTGTTACTTTTTGTCACACAAGCCCTAATAGTGTGAGCCAGTAGCCCATAATGAAAGTTTATAAAACACCTGGCTTATTGAATCTCCCGAAACAAGAAGGAGCTTCAAGCTTGAGAAGTTAGCAATGGAAGTTTGGAGCTGAGGGGATACCACACCATCTCGTTAGGTTGCTTTTAATCTCCGTCTCCAATCAACACATCTCTTTTGCCCTTTCAGTCCCCAAAACAGTTCAATGTCCTCTTTGCACACCCGGGATGCCAAAGAACTGCATGGACCAGGGCACTCGGGAGCCAACCAAGATTCTAGTGAGTTCTCTGCTGCATTTTCTCAAAGAAAGCCAGCCAGGTCTTCCCTCTCCCCGCCCATTCTTCCTGTTTGAATAACTACCAGGTGACTGCTTTATTAGCAGAAATCTGTAGACTCTTTCTTGCTCAGTGAGTTCTTATAGTTCCCACCAAAGAAAAGTGAAAACAAGTTCCAGTGTATTTTCTTTTATCCAGTTTGGTTCTCAAGATCCGACTCTCACATTCGGCCTTGGCTCCTGGTGTGTTTCCTTTTGGTTTAGAAACCACTATTTAATTTCACATGCTGGCCTGTGCGCCTTTAGTCCTTCCGTCGAGTCTTTCGGTTGCTTTATGGTGGTATTTAAAGGTGGCTGTCGTGAAAGGAAGACGGGGGGGGGGGAGGTAAAGAAAGAATTTGCCCCCACCTCTTTTTAAAGTTTGAAAATGGAAGCGATCCATGATGTCACGGGCCGTGGCTGTGGAGTGGGGGCGTGGCTGTGGAGGAGTAGGAACCTCCCTGCTCCAGTCCTGGCTCTGTCCTCTGCCCTCGGTGGCCATTCCAGGACTCTAACCCTTTAGTGGAAACCCAACTGTTTGTCATAGAACTTCAGCCAGACCCAGAGAGACCAAGAGACCCCAGCCATTCACAAAACCATTATCGCCAGGAAACTGGAGGAGGGAAACTTTATTTTAGCCAACCCCCTTTAAGTCGCTTTAATCGACCCTTCTGGTGTTGGGCACCATGAAAACATACTCCCTCCTATTTTGAAAAAGTTCCCCAGTGCTGATTCAGTCCTTTCTCCCTGAGTTATGTTTACAAGCACGTTATCCCCAGGTGTTACCCCATCTCAGATACACTAAGTCACACGGTACTGAAAGATTTCCCAGGGGTGGTCCACAGGGTACATATTCAGTGACTGTCCCGAAATCCTGATGGGCGTGAGGATCACGCTTCCTGATTGAGAATGAATATCCATCACGTTCACTCTATGCTCCGCCCCCCACAAGCCCCCAGTCCTGTCTTTTTGGAAGATTTCTCTGAATGTTGATTGCATTTGCAAGATGTCTCATTTCCCACCCTAGTGTTTGTTCTGCAACAACACTGCTTACACTGGATTCTTTTAATCCTATCATTAAATGGTCGTGCTGTAAATTCTACAATTAATGTCAAATAAACTGCTTTAATTCGTGGATCATGGCTCAGTTGCTTTTATTCTGTGTGTGTGTGTGTGTGTGTGTGTGTGTGTGTGTGTGTGTGTGTTCTTCTTTTAACACGCGGGTTCCAGAGACCAAACTTAGGTCCTTAGCTATAAGTGTCTTCACTAGCCGAGCCATCTTTCAGTCCCTTCTTCCTATTCTGATTGAAAGAACTAAGTGCTATTCCTTCCATTGCAATTTCATAGAGAGCAGCAAAGTCGTTCTATTTGGTTCAGGACACACAGCACATTCTATGATCAACTGACCTGCCATTCTTGTTATCAGTCACAGAACACTTAGAAAGGCCTGCCCGCTTTCTTATTCTTCCCCATTAAAAATTGAGAGAGAGCCTATTTCTATTCAGTCTTGCCCTTGTACAGATGAGATCACCTGTGGCAACTCAAAAGGAGGATCGCCACCTATGAAAGAATCAAAACACATAGACAAACATACACGGAGCTGGGAGGCCTCACGGTGAACCTAGATTCTGCCAAAATATATAGTTTGCAATTATAGTGGTTACCACCTTGAGCTGGCACCAGCTTAGTGGTTCTTTGGTCTTGGTTATGTTCACTCATGTATCTGCCATTGGCTCTCTGTTTGACTGGGGCCGGGCTAGACTAAGGCGGCATTAGTTTGGATGACTCTAATTTTTCATCTCCCAGCACCCAAAGCTCCTTGAGGCTCGAATGTGAACCTGATAAAGTCACTTCTGCTGTATCCTGTTGACAGAAGGAAACCAAAGTCCATCCCAGGTTCTCAAGGGAGAAATGGGACAGCTCTGCTCCTTAGTGGGGAAAGTGGCAAGATTACACCACCAAGAGAAGGCTTAGACTGTGACCATGTTTTACAATCTGTCACAGCCAGTATGGTTTAAAAGATCTCTCATAGATTCAAATGCTCAGCTAAATTTTCAAAACACAGCAGAATCTTGCATTGTGGGAATTCGTTCTGCCGATAGCTTTGGGAGTGACTTCTTGTCTGCACATATGATCTCTTAAAACGGGATAGAAAGAATTCCTAGTGTCACATGCCTTTAATCCCAGCACTTGGGTGGCAGGGCAGAATACAGGTAGGTGGCAAAGCCAAACTAAATACAGAGAAAAGAAGGCAGAGTCAGGGAGATGTCAGCAGCCACCAGAGAAGCAAGATGTGAGGTAACAAGTCACAAGCCTCATGGTAAAATATAAACTAATAAAAATGGGTTATGTTGTAAGAGCTAGTTAGTAATAAGCCTGAGCAAATAGGCCAAACAGTATGTAATTACTATTAAGCCTCTGAGTGGTTATTTTAAAAGCAGCTGCAGGGCCAGGCGGGATGAAAACTTCCAGTTACAATCTTGTGTTTCTCTGTTTTGTTTAGTTTTTGTACAGCACCAATGCTTATCCTTATGGGTTGATATTCTCTCAAATGCTGTCATCGTGATCACAACCTCACTTTATGAAAAAACGATCTACAGCTTTCAGACTTGCAAAGTAGATATCACCTAAACCGGACCAATACAGGTTAAAAGGAAAAAAAAGCCCTCCAAAAACCAGAGTGAGCCAGGCTCTTGTTGACAGGAAGAAGTAGCTTAGAGAACACATAACCCCTCCTGGTTCATAGTAAGACTAAGCCAGATGATCACTGGACCTTGTCCATATCCGCTACCCTTTGACTCCATGACCCACCATTGTTGCTCAGAATATGAAGCTGTGATTCCAACTGGTACACATCAAGACTGAGGGTCCCTGGTCTCTACTGAGGCCCCTGTGCTTTTATATATATATTTAAAAAAAAAGATGTTCCTGACCCTGCGAGGGTATGCAACACCATAGGTAAGACAGCAATGGAATAAAGGCTTTCAACAAATCTTCTGTCTCAGCCTCTTGAAGCTGGCACAGCAGGGGCACACCACTACCCCTTGCTGAACAATTAGCCTTGACAATAGGAGTGCAATGAACAGATAAATTTTAAAATGTGTCTGTTGTTCCCATAAAGACCATCCATGCAAACTGCCATGAACTAACAGCTTCAATTTAGTCATAACCGACACATATTCTTTTGGTGGCTAACTGCACCTGCTCAAAAGTTTTGGGTTGCTAGCTGTATTGGCACAACCTGCCATAGTCTAGCACTATGGAGACAGAGGCTGGAGGAGCTCAAATCTGAAGTCAGCTTGGACTTCAGGGCAAAAAGGGAGGACCGGCAAAATAGCTCAAAGGGTAAAGGTGCTTGTGGAACCTGATGTGCTGAATTCAATTTCTGAAACCCACAAGGCAAAAGGTGAGAGCCAGCACCTGCAAGTTTTCCTCTGACTTCCGCATACACTCCACGGATAAAGTTTAAAAGAGAAAAAAAGGAAAAGAACAAAATGATTCAGGTAGGCAAGATGTATACCTGATATCTTGAGTATGCTATGTCAGAAATATGGATGAAACATTATGTCTTTACACAATAAATTCACTAGGTGAGGCACTTTCATTGGCAGCCAGATAGT